TTTTAGCCCATGGTTATATTTTACCGGTTAAGTTGGTTATAACTACATACCGCCCTAAGGTATTTAGCTACTCATCGAGGTTAAATCAGACTCAGAGTTAAATATTGACTTACTAATAGCAGAAAAATAAATAGACATTATAAATAAATTAAATTGCAATAATTGAAAAACCTGATTAACAAATATCTGAGTAGACTCCTTCTTCCACAGACCGGAAGGCTTGGAGTAGGCGGAAATAAAAATTAAAACGAATGCTGAAGGCTGGAAACAAATAAAAGTATAACAATTCCCTAATGTTGGAAATTGTTACACGGTTGGTTTGGATACAAATAAAATAAGACAGGAAACAAAATAATGCTGGAATAATAATTCTGGTGGTAAGGTAATTCGGCAGAGCTTCCGCAGGAAATTTGGATAATGAAGTCTCCCTTGAGTTCTCCTGAGCTGGTCCTATTTATAGAGCTTCCAATGGGCTGGTGTCTTGGTCTTTTGCTTCTTGGGCTTTGCTGGAGTGGTTGAGAAAATGTTGGAAAGTGGCAGCAGAAAATGGGAGAAGTCTTCCTCACGTGCTGCCTTGAGGAGAATTACTAGGAGGAGTGGTCTTCACTGGTGGCTTGACGTAGTCTGAGTCAAAATCAAGTTATATCCTTGTCACGGGCGTGACAAGGTCTTCACGCTCGTTGTTTGATGATTTCAAGTGTCACGGTCGTGACTACTTCCTCACGGTCGTGATGGCCCAAAGTAAGGTGTCACGGTCGTGACACCCTTGTAACGACCGTGGCCGTAACAAATTATGCAGAGTTTATGCAGGATTCTGTCTTGCTTCATTTCTTGTGGTTTCTTTCGTTCTTTTCTTCTTAATTCATGATTTGGCCTCGCATAACGATGTACCTGCAAAATAGTAAGAAAAAACTCGAGGAATCGAGCGTTAAAACGGTGAATGCGCGATAAAACTCAATGAAATCTAGCGATATAATCGATGCGTTTTCTCGTCATCAATCATGAGGAAAACAATTGAGGAAATGGAAAAAAAAATTATTGCAGGAGCAAAATATTTTAAAAACTGGGAGTCACCAACGTTAACAATGTAAAAATTTTTATTCCATATGATACAAACTAAACAGCTAGAACTTGTTTAAATTGTTAAATTTTTGTCAGTGTCTGTTCAGTTCAGTTTTATTTAATATACCAATTAGTTAAGTTTGATTCATCTATATAAACAGCATTCATTCGTTCTTCCACATTCATACTTTTATCTCCACACACTTAACACCCCTTCAATCTTTTCTTGAAATCATACCCTACATTGAGTTTACTCTACAACCTTTCGTCTTCTTCTTTTTTTTCTCCCCAAGAACATGTTTGGGTGGACTCAAAATGTACTATGTGCTTGTTCAAGCAAAAACAATATTAACATGGTTGATGATATTAACATCAACGAATTTGGTCCTGATCCTTTAGATGCGGTACAGGCCAATGTTGTTAAGCAAACTTTGAGCAAATTTGATATCGGATACAAGGCTCTTTTTGTTGGAGTATTCGACGGAGAAAATGGGAGCTTTGCTTCCGAATATCTGAATGACAACCTCTTACGAACTTTACTATGTGAGTATTTCTCCGTTCAGTCGCTATATTCACAATTACTTTTCTGTTGCATCCTTGCACGTGTTTGTCTTATTTTCTTTGGTTAAAAACCAAACATGCAAGAAGTTCTTTTGTTAATGTTAGCTCTCTGGTTTTTTTGTTTAAATAGCTGATGTTAATAAGAATGACTGCAACGTGAGTGAGGATATCATGAGGAAAACAATTGAGGAAATGGAAAAAAAATTGTTGCAGAAGTAAAATATTTTAAAAACTGGGAGTCACCAACGTTAGCAATGTAAAAATTTCTATTCCATATGATACAAACTAAACAACTAGAACTTGTTTAAATAGTTAAATTTTAGTCAGTGTCTGTTCAGTTCGGGTTTATTTTATATACCAGTTAGTTAAGTTTCATTCATCTATATAAACAACATTCATTCACTCTTCCACATTCATACTTTTATCTCCACTCACTTAACACCCTTTCAATCTTTTCTTGAAATCATACCATACATTGAGTTTACTCTACAACTTTTCGTCTCTTCTCTTTCTTCTCCCCAAGAATATGTTTGTGTGGACTAAAAAGGTACTCTGCGCTTATTCAAGCAAAAACAATATTGACATGGTTAATGATATTAACATTGATGAATTTGGTCCTGATCCTTTAGCTGCGCTACAGGCCAATGTAGTTAAGCAAGCTTAGAGCAAATTTGATATCGGATGCAGGGCTCTTTTTGTTGGAGTATTCGACGGAGAAAATGGGAGCTTTTCTTCCCAATATCTGAATGAAAACCTCTTATGAACTCTACTATGTGAGTATTTCTCCATTTAGTTGCTATATTCGCAATTTTTCTGTTGCATGCTTGCATGTGTTTGTCTTATTTTCTTTTGTTAAAAACAAAACATGCAAGAAGTTCTTTTTATTAATGTTAGCTCTCTGGTTTTTGTTTGTTTAAATAGCTGATGTTAATAAGAATGACTGCAACGTAACTGAGGATAGCATGAGAAAAATAGATGAGGAAATGGAAACAAAAATTGTTGCAGAAGCAAAATATTTTAAAAACTGGGAGCCGAAAGACTTCTAACAAGTTCTAGCTGTTTAGTTTGTATCATATGGAATAGAAAATTTTTTGATTAAATTTCATTTTAGTTTGGATCATATGGAATAGCTCTCTGGTTTTTTTGTTGTTTAAATAGCTGATGTTAATAAGAATGACTGCTACGTGACCGAGGATATCATGAGGAAAATGATTGAGGAAATCGGAAAAAAAATTATTGCAGGAGCAAAATATTTTAAAAACTGGGAGTCACCAACGTTAGCAATGTAAAAATTTCTATTCCATATGATACAAACTAAACAGCTAGAACTTGTTTAAATAGTTAAATTTTTGTCAGTGTCTGTTCAGTTCAGTTTTATTTTATATACCAATTAGTTAAGTTTGATTCATCTATATAAACGGCATTCATTCGTTCTTCCACATTCATACTTTTATCTCCACACACTTAACACCCCTTCAATCTTTTCTTGAAATCATACCCTACATTGAGTTTACTCTACAACCTTTCGTCTTCTTCTTTTTTTTCTCCCCAAGAACATGTTTGGGTGGACTCAAAATGTACTATGTGCTTGTTCAAGCAAAAACAATATTAACATGGTTGATGATATTAACATCAACGAATTTGGTCCTGATCCTTTAGATGCGGTACAGGCCAATGTTGTTAAGCAAACTTTGAGCAAATTTGATATCGGATACAATGCTTTTTTTGTTGGAGTATTCGACGGAGAAAATGGGAGCTTTGCTTCCGAATATCTGAATGACAACCTCTTACGAACTTTACTATGTGAGTATTTCTCCGTTTAGTCGCTATATTCGCAATTACTTTTCTGTTGCATGCTTGCACGTGTTTGTCTTATTTTCTTTGGTTAAAAACCAAACATGCAAGAAGTTCTTTTGTTAATGTTAGCTCTCTGGTTTTTTTGTTTAAATAGCTGATGTTAATAAGAATGACTGCAACGTGAGTGAGGATATCATGAGGAAAACAATTGAGGAAATGGAAAAAAAATTGTTGCAGAAGTAAAATATTTTAAAAACTGGGAGTCACCAACGTTAGCAATGTAAAAATTTCTATTCCATATGATACAAACTAAACAACTAGAACTTGTTTAAACAGTTAAATTTTAGTCAGTGTCTGTTCAGTTCGGGTTTATTTTATATACTAGTTAGTTAAGTTTCATTCATCTATATAAACAACATTCATTCACTCTTCCACATTCATACTTTTATCTCCACTCACATAACACCCTTTCAATCTTTTCTTTAAATCATACCATACATTGAGTTTACTCTACAACCTTTCGTCTCTTCTCTTTCTTCTCCCCAAGAATATGTTTGTGTGGACTAAAAAGGTACTCTGCGCTTATTCAAGCAAAAAAGATATTTACATGGTTAATGATATTAACATTGATGAATTTGGTCCTGATCCTTTAGCTGCGCTACAGGCCAATGTAGTTAAGCAAGCTTAGAGCAAATTTGATATCGGATGCATGGCTCTTTTTGTTGGAGTATTCGACGGAGAAAATGGGAGCTTTGCTTCCCAATATCTGAATGAAAACCTCTTATGAACTCTACTATGTGAGTATTTCTCCATTTAGTCGCTATATTCGCAATTTTTCTGTTGCATGCTTGCATGTGTTTGTCTTATTTTCTTTTGTTAAAAACCAAACATGCAAGAAGTTCTTTTTATTAATGTTAGCTCTCTGGTTTTTGTTTGTTTAAATAGCTGATGTTAATAAGAATGACTGCAACGTAACTGAGGATAGCATGAGGAAAATAGATGAGGAAATGGAAACAAAAATTGTTGCAGAAGCAAAATATTTTAAAAACTGGGAGCCGAAAGACTTCTAACAAGTTCTAGCTGTTTAGTTTGTATCATATGGAATAGAAATTTTTTTGATTAAATTTCATTTTAGTTTGGATCGTATGGAATAGCTCTCTGGTTTTTTTGTTGTTTAAATAGTTGATGTTAATAAGAATGACTGCTACGTGACCGAGGATATCATGAGGAAAACAATTGAGGAAATGGAAAAAAAAATTATTGCAGGAGCAAAATATTTTAAAAACTGGGAGTCACCAACGTTAGCAATGTAAAAATTTCTATTCCATATGATACAAACTAAACAGCTAGAACTTGTTTAAATAGTTAAATTTTTGTCAGTGTCTGTTCCGTTCAGTTTTATTTTATATACCAATTAGTTATGTTTGATTCATCTATATAAACGGCATTCATTCGTTCTTCCACATTCATACTTTTATCTCCACACACTTAGCACCCCTTCAATCTTTTCTTGAAATCATACCCTGCATTGAGTTTACTCTACAACCTTTCGTCTTCTTCTTTTTTTTCTCCCCAAGAACATGTTTGGGTGGACTCAAAATGTACTCTGTGCTTGTTCAAGCAAAAACAATATTAACATGGTTGATGATATTAACATCAACGAATTTGGTCCTGATCCTTTAGATGCGGTACAGGCCAATGTTGTTAAGCAAACTTTGAGCAAATTTGGTATCGGATACAAGGCTCTTTTTGTTGGAGTATTCGACGGAGAAAATGGGAGCTTTGCTTCCGAATATCTGAATGACAACCTCTTACGAACTTTACTATGTGAGTATTTCTCCGTTTAATCGCTATATTCGCAATTAATTTTCTGTTTCATGCTTGCACGTGTTTGTCTTATTTTCTTTGGTTAAAAACCAAACATGCAAGAAGTTCTTTTGTTAACGTTAGCTCTCTGGTTTTTTTGTTTAAATAGCTGATGTTAATAAGAATGACTGCAACGTGAGTGAGGATATCATGAGGAAAACAATTGAGGAAATGGAAAAAAAATTGTTGCAGAAGTAAAATATTTTAAAAATTGGGAGTCACCAACGTTAGCAATGTAAAAATTTCTATTCTATATGATACAAACTAAACAACTAGAACTTGTTTAAATAGTTAAATTCTAGTCAGTGTCTGTTCAGTTCGGGTTTATTTTATATACCAGTTAGTTAAGTTTCATTCATCTATATAAACAACATTCATTCACTCTTCCACATTCATACTTTTATCTCCACTCACTTATCACCCTTTCAATCTTTTCTTGAAATCATACCATACATTGAGTTTACTCTACAACCTTTCGTCTCTTCTCTTTCTTCTCCCCAAGAATATGTTTGTGTGGACTAAAAAGGTACTCTGCGCTTATTCAAGCAAAAACAATATTGACATGGTTAATGATATTAACATTGATGAATTTGGTCCTGATCCTTTAGCTGCGCTACAGGCCAATGTAGTTAAGCAAGCTTAGAGCAAATTTGATATCGGATGCAGGGCTCTTTTTGTTGGAGTATTCGACGGAGAAAATGGGAGCTTTGCTTCCCAATATCTGAATGAAAACCTCTTATGAACTCTAATATGTGAGTATTTCTCCATTTAGTCGCTATATTCGCAATTTTTCTGTTGCACGCTTGCATGTGTTTGTCTTATTTTATTTTGTTAAAAACCAAACATGCAAGAAGTTCTTTTTATTAATGTTAGCTTTCTGGTTTTTGTTTGTTTAAATAGCTGATGTTAATAAGAATGACTGCAACGTAACTGAGGATAGCATGAGGAAAATAGATGAGGAAATGGAAACAAAAATTGTTGCAGAAGCAAAATATTTTAAAAACTTGGAGCCGAAAGACTTCTAACAAATTCGAGCTGTTTAGTTTGTATCATATGGAATAGAAATTTTTTTGATTAAATTTCATTTTAGTTTGTATCATATGGAATAGCTCTCTGGTTTTTTTGTTGTTTAAATAGTTGATGTTAATATGAATGACTGCTACGTGACCGAGGATATCATGAGGAAAACAATTGAGGAAATGGAAAAAAAAATTATTGCAGGAGCAAAATATTTTAAAAACTGGGAGTCACCAACGTTAGCAATGTAAAAATTTCTATTCCATATGATACAAACTAAACAGCTAGAACTTGTTTGAATAGTTAAATTTTTGTCAGTGTCTGTTCAGTTCAGTTTTATTTTATATACCAATTAGTTAAGTTTAATTCATCTATATAAACGACATTCATTCATTCTTCCACATTCATACTTTTATCTCCACACACTTAACACCCCTTCAATCTTTTCTTGAAATCATACCCTACATTGAGTTTACTCTACAACCTTTCGTCTTTTTCTTTTTTTTCTCCCCAAGAACATGTTTGGGTGGACTCAAAATGTACTCTGTGCTTGTTCAAGCAAAAACAATATTAACATGGTTGATGATATTAACATCAACGAATTTGGTCCTGATCCTTTAGATGCGGTACAGGCCAATGTTGTTAAGCAAACTTTGAGCAAATTTGATATCGGATACAAGGCTCTTTTTGTTGGAGTTTTCGATGCAGAAAATGAGAGCTTTGCTTCCGAATATCTGAATGACAACCTCTTACGAACTTTACTATGTGAGTATTTCTCCGCTTAGTCGCTATATTCGCAATTACTTTTCTGTTGCATGCTTGCACGTGTTTGTCTTATTTTCTTTGGTTAAAAACCAAACATGCAAGAAGTTCTTTTGTTAATGTTAACTCTCTGTTTTTTTGTTTAAATAGCTGATGTTAATAAGAATGACTGCAACGTGAGTGAGGATATCATGAGGAAAACAATTGAGGAAATGGAAAAAAAACTTGTTGCAGAAGTAAAATATTTTAAAAACTGGGAGTCACCAACGTTAGCAATGTAAAAATTTCTATTCCATATGATACAAACTAAACAACTAGAACTTGTTTAAATAGTTAAATTTTAGTCAGTGTCTGTTCAATTCGGGTTTATTTTATATACCAGTTAGTTAAGTTTCATTCATCTATATAAACAACATTCATTCACTCTTCCACATTCATACTTTTATCTCCACTCACTTAACACCCTTGCAATCTTTTCTTGAAATCATACCATACATTGAGTTTACTCTACAACCTTTCGTCTCTTCTCTTTCTTCTCCCCTAGAATATGTTTGTGTGGACTAAAAAGGTACTCTGCGCTTATTCAAGCAAAAACAATATTGACATGGTTAATGATATTAACATTGATGAATTTGGTCCTGATCCTTTAGCTGCGCTACAGGCCAATGTAGTTAAGCAAGCTTAGAGCAAATTTGATATCGGATGCCGGGCTCCTTTTGTTGGAGTATTCGACGGAGAAAATGGGAGCTTTGCTTCCCAATATCTGAATGAAAACCTCTTATGAACTCTACTATGTGAGTATTTCTCCATTTAGTCGCTATATTCGCAATTTTTCTGTTGCATGCTTGCATGTGTTTGTCTTATTTTCTTTTGTTAAAAACCAAACATGCAAGAAGTTCTTTTTATTAATGTTAGCTCTCTGGTTTTTGTTTGTTTAAATAGCTGATGTTAATAAGAATGACTGCAACGTAACTGAGGATAGCATGAGGAAAATAGATGAGGAAATGGAAACAAAAATTGCTGCAGAAGCAAAATATTTTAAAAACTGGGAGCCGAAAGACTTCTAACAAGTTCTAGCTGTTTAGTTTGTATCATATGGAATAGAAATTTTTTTGATTAAATTTAATTTTAGTTCGGATCATATGGAATAGCTCTCTGGTTTTTTTGTTGTTTAAATAGCCGATGTTAATAAGAATGACTGCTACGTGACCGAGGATATCATGAGGAAAACAATTGAGGAAATGGAAAAAAAAATTATTGCAGGAGCAAAATATTTTAAAAACTGGGAGTCACCAACGTTAGCAATGTAAAAATTTCTATTCCATATGATACAAACTAAACAGCTAGAACTTGTTTAAATATTTAAATTTTTGTCAGTGTCTGTTCAGTTCTGTTTTATTTTATATACCAATTAGTTAAGTTTCATTCATCTATATAAACAACATTCATTCACTCTTCCACATTCATACTTTTATCTCCACTAACTTAACACCCTTTCAATCTTTTCTTGAAATCATACCATACATTGAGTTTACTCTACAACCTTTCGTCTCTTCTCTTTCTTCTCCCCAAGAATATGTTTGTGTGGACTAAAAAGGTACTCTGCGCTTATTCAAGCAAAAACAATATTGACATGGTTAATGATATTAACATTGATGAATTTGGTCCTGATCCTTTAGCTGCGCTACAGGCCAATGTAGTTAAGCAAGCTTAGAGCAAATTTGATATCGGATGCAGGGCTCTTTTTTTTGGAGTATTCGATGGAGAAAATGGGAGCTTTGCTTCCCAATATCTGAATGAAAACCTCTTATGAACTCTACTATGTGAGTATTTCTCCATTTAGTCGCTATATTCGCAATTTTTCTGTTGCATGCTTGCATGTGTTTGTCTTATTTTATTTTGTTAAAAACCAAACATGCAAGAAGTTCTTTTTATTAATGTTAGCTCTCTGGTTTTTGTTTGTTTAAATAGCTGATGTTAATAAGAATGACTGCAACGTAACTGAGGATAGCATGAGGAAAATAGATGAGGAAATGGAAACAAAAATTGTTGCAGAAGCAAAATATTTTAAAAACTTGGAGCCGAAAGAATTCTAACAAGTTCTAGCTGTTTAGTTTGTATCATATGGAATAGAAATGTTTTTTGATTAAATTTCATTTTAGTTTGGATCATATGGAATAGCTCTCTGGTTTTTTTGTTGTTTAAATAGCTGATGTTAATAAGAATGACTGCTAAGTGACCGAGGATATCATGAGGAAAACAATTGAGGAAATGGAAAAAAAAAATTATTGCAAGAGCAAAATATTTTAAAAACTGGGAGTCACCAACGTTAGCAATGTAAAAATTTCTATTCCATATGATACAAACTAAACAGCTAGAACTTGTTTAAATAGTTAAATTTTTGTCAGTGTCTGTTCAGTTCAGTTTTATTTTATATACCAATTAGTTAAGTTTGATTCATCTATATAAACGGCATTCATTCGTTCTTCCACATTCATACTTTTGTCTCCACACACTTAGCACCCCTTCAATCTTTTCTTGAAATCATACCCTACATTGAGTTTACTCTACAACCTTTCGTCTTCTTCTTTTTTTTCTCCCCAAGAACATGTTTGGGTGGACTCAAAATGTACTCTGTGCTTGTTCAAGCAAAAACAATATTAACATGGTTGATGATATTAACATCAACGAATTTGGTCCTGATCCTTTAGATGCGGTACATGCCAATGTTGTTAAGCAAACTTTGAGCAAATTTGATATCGGATACAAGGCTCTTTTTGTTGGAGTATTCGATGGAGAAAATGGGAGCTTTGCTTCCGAATATCTGAATGACAACCTCTTACGAACTTTACTATGTGAGTATTTCTCCCTTTAGCCGCTATATTCGCAATTACTTTTCTGTTGCATGCTGGCACGTGTTTGTCTTATTTTCTTTGGTTAAAAACCAAACATGCAAGAAGTTCTTTTGTTAATGTTAGCTCTCTGGTTTTTTTGTTTAAATATCTGATGTTAATAAGAATGACTGCAACGTGAGTGAGGATATCATGAGGAAAACAATTGAGGAAATGGAAAAAAAATTGTTGCAGAAGTAAAATATTTTAAAAACTGGGAGTCACCAACGTTAGCAATGTAAAAATTTCTATTCCATATGATACAAACTAAACAACTAGAACTTGTTTAAATAGTTAAATTTTAGTCAGTGTCTGTTCAGTTCGGGTTTATTTTATATACCAGTTAGTTAAGTTTCATTCATCTATATAAACAACATTCATTCACTCTTCCACATTCATACTTTTATCTCCACTCACTTAACACCCTTTCAATCTTTTCTTGAAATCATACCATACATTGAGTTTACTCTACAACCTTTCGTCTCTTCTCTTTCTTCTCCCCAAGAATATGTTTGTGTGGACTAAAAA